ACTAAGTCCTGTATAGCTTTTCCTCTAGTTCCCTCCTCTATCCTTTGGATGACAAAGTCGTCAATTAAGATGATTAGGAATCTGTTCTATATCCCACTTGCTGCAGAGTTTTTCTCCCAGTTGATATCAGGGAAGTTAAATCCTCCCATTACTACTACAGTTTGTTTCCCACATACATTTATTAACTGATTAGCAAATAATTCATCTGTTTCTTCTGTTTGGTTGGGTGCCCTGTAGTATATACCCCTATAGCAATGCCATTTCCCCCCATTTTATATTGATCTATATAGATTCTAGGAGATTGTCACCCTTGTTTTTTATTTATTTATTTCTGTAGGGCTGTGGTGATCTTTTATATATAATAAAACTCCACCTCCTCTTTTGTTAGGTCTGTTTCTTTTGAATAGTTTGTATCCTTCCAGCAGTACATTCTAGTCATGAGGTTCATCCCATTAAGTTTCAATAATGGTAACTATTTATCTGCCTTCGTGTACTAATATTTCAAGTTCACCCTTTTATCATTATTGTTCAGGCATTTGAGTCCTTTATCAGTCTTGGGCAGAGGTGGTATTCAGCAGGCTCTAACCAGTTCTGGAGAATCGGTAGCGGAAATTTTGAGTAGTTTGGAGAACCAGTGATAACCTTACCCCAGGAGTGGGGAGGAATGGAGATTTTACAGTATCCTTTCCCTGGAGTGGGGTGGGAATGGAGATTTTACAATATCCTTCCCCTGCCACATCCATCAAGACACACCCACCAAGCCATGCCACACCCACCAAACCACACCCACAGAACCAGTAGTAAAAAAATTTGAATCCCACCATTGATCTTGGGTATTTTTCTTACATGTCCTACTTTGTAACTGGAATTTCATTTTTTTTCCCATCACCCTCTCCTTCATTGTGATTTTCTTTGTTTTATTTCTTCTATTTCTTTACTCCCTACCTCCTTATGTGATTGATTATCTAGTGGTTTTTGCTTGGACTTAGGTTCTAAAGGTTGTTAAGATTGTCCTTCCCCGTTCTCCCTTTTAGTTTAAAGCCTTTTTGATAAGATGAGCCAGTCATTTTCCGAATATATTCTTTCCAGTTCTTGTGAGCTGCAGTCCATCCCTTGCTGGTAACCCTTCATGTAGGTAATTCAGACCATGGTTTAGAAAGCTGAAGTTATGTTAATGACACCAGTTTTTAAGCCAGTGGCTTGTTTCTAAGATCCTTTGCTACCTCATTGGATGTTGAGAGAAAAGGATTTTAAAATCTTCCATTTATACATGAAAGGGGTAGAAAATAGCCCTTCGTGGCACTGCAAGTTTCCTTTTATTAGACGAGTGGATATGGTTTCCTAGAATTCTTGATAATCTCAATCTTTTTTTTCCAGCAAGCCCAACATTAGGAAAGTGCTGTACCTTTACTATATCCATTTTGATTTTTTTTTTGCAACTGTTTCTTTTATTTTTATTCAGAAAAATCTGTTCAGTTGTGGTTGTAAATTGAGGATTACCTGTATTGACTAATGCAGAAAATGGCCACACTTTGGTATCTCTGCTGTTGTTATTAAGTAGCACCTAATTATAAGAGATTATAAGAGATTATAAGTGTTTATAAGATATTTGGGTGGGGTAGGATAGGATAGGATAGAGAAGTGGGGTACAAGGACATACTTTTATAGGGAAGCCTGTCTGGGATGTAGAAGTGTCTATGTGCTGATTCTAGGATGACACTTGATAGGCATGTGTGTGTGTATGTGTGTGTGTGTAAGTTTGTCATCTATTATGTTTATTCTTACAAACATGAAATTCTGCTGGGAGACCTAATTTAATTAATTCTATTTCTGTTTACAGACCTTATCCTTTGATATGTGAATTAGGTCTGGGTAACTTATTTGGTGGTTTGAAGAAGTTAGAATAAAACACCCCAACACACACACACACCCCCCAAAAAAAACATCAAAAGATTTTTACTTTTTAAAAATTTAGTTTCATTTGGACTTTAGTTTTTAAATTTAGTTTCAACTGGATCCTCAGCTCATTTTATTAATGTTTTAAGGGAAGATGGAAACAGTATAAAAAATAAAACATGTAAAACTCTCACACCACCAATTGAAGATACATTCTGTATCTTCCTTCACTAAACAACAAGAATTATCAGTCTATGGAATGTCAGAGCTGCTAAACATCCATATATAGCATTGGTAAAGTGTATTGACAGTAATTAGGAATGTAGCACATTGCCTAAGCAACATATGGAGTGCTCAATTCTTTTGGTCTGAGAGGCTGGATTGGCTGCATTCCAACTATACCTTTCTACCATATTCTTTTATTCATAGAAGTAAAAGAAAGGACAGGAAAAAAACATAATGAAGAGAATAGAAAGAACTTTAAAAGAATTTATCAAAACCTCCAGAGTTGAGAAAGGACACGTTTGATATTTTTTAAGAAAAAAATATTTTATTCAACATTTATGCAATTAAAAACAAACAAACAAACATATTTATATACATATATGCATTTTACAGCAAGGTTTGAGTGATAGTTACATTTACATTTTTCTATCATCGATGTATTCTACCTTGTTATAATAATTTCTTCGTCATCTCCCTAGCTTATTCGCATTTTCGAAATAATTTTGTTTTGCTAATTTGATTTTCCTAGCCAGGTCCTCCTATACACTCAAATTTATTTTATGCTTCACCAAATCTATTTCTTTTTTAATATTTTGATTACTCGGATCTCTTTGTGTACTAATTTCTAGGTCTTTCAGTTTCTCCTGCCAATCCTTTTGTTGGCTTTTTTCTTTATTCCTTTTAATACCATAACCAATAGTTAAACCTCTTACATAGGCCTTTGTTGTGTCCCATAAATTCTGTAGGGATGTGTGTTCTCTCTTATTGATTTCAGAGAATATTTTTAATTTTTTTATCATTATAATATATTTTTTATCCCTTAACACATTATTGTTAAGTGTCCATCTTCCAATCTTTCTATTTCCTTTCCATTTAATTTGGATCAGGTTATGGTTGGCCCATGTGTTTGGTAATATCTCTATCTTTTCAATATTCTCCATTAAACCCGTGTCTATCCATATCAGGTCTCTTCTTGACCAGGAATGGTGCGGATTGGAGAAGAATGTGTATTGTTTTTTAGTGGGATTTAATTCTCTCCATGCATCCTTCAAATTTAGTTCTATCTTTATGCTGTTAAAGGTGGACGGGAGTGTTCTCCTCTTTCTTTTATTCTTTTTAGAGCTTTTATAGTATTTATCCATATCTGGGACTGCACTGTAGTCTCCTACTATGCATATATTTGAGTATTCAGTTTCTACTATCCTATGGTGAAGCCAAGAATAAAATTCTTTTTGATTTATATTTGGAGCATATATTGTAGCTAATAACATCTTTTTTTGGTTTAGCATTATTTCTATAAATAGCATTCTCCCTTCTTCATCTTTATATATCTGCTTATGTTGCAGCCAATCTTTTACATATACTACAATGCCCCTTTTCTTTTGGTTTGAAAGAGCCCAATACATTTTACCCAAATTAGGAGATTTGGTACTCTGGAATGTGACCTTCTTGTATACATGTGATATCTGCATTTTGTTTTTTAAGTTTCTCAAGTGTCTGTTTCCTTTTAGATAGTGAATTTAAGTCGTTAATGTTAATTGAAAACAGGGTAATTTCTCTATCCATGTTACTGCCTGTATAGGATGGTTCTTGTCTTGCTTTTAGTTCTTGGTTTTCTTCTAGATCTGTTGTCTAGATCTGTTCTCTCTAATAGGAAGTTTTATATTATTATTTCTCATGCTATAGATAACTGGATTGAACAGGGGTGGAAGGAGGGCATACAGAACACTCAAACCAAAATCTAAGTATGATGGAGTGTTACAGGAAGGTCTCAGATAGACAAAGCATCCACTTAATGATAATATAGACATTACCGTAACATGGGGAATACAGGTGGATAAGGCTTTTTGCCTTCCTTGTTTAGAAGGGATTTTTAACACAGTCTTGAAAATCATTGCATAAAATACAACTATAAAAATAAACAAAGGTATGATATGTGGTGAGAATAGAATACATTAAGAAACTTAAAGCATGGGGAGAAGGAACAGAGGATCAGAACATAGAAAACAGAGATGGGCATATCAGAGTACACTTTCCCCCAATTTTACCCATCCTCTTTCAGTTGTGTTATCTCATGTCGTGATCAAAACTACTGGCTAAGGGTAGAAAAAAGTTGGTTTAGGTCCATTTTCATCAATGAAAGATTACTCAGAATAATTGGACTCATAAATTGTCTGCACTTTTATAGTATTGTGGTAGTATTGGAAAATTTGAGAATTCCAATGTATGATGCTTTGTGCTTCTATAAGAAAGGAAATGTAAATCTACCCAATAAATATAAAAATAATTTGCTATATTTCTTACTTGGAAACCCTGAGAGCAGACATTTCCTCCTTTTATAATCTCTCTCTTTGTGTGTTTATGTAAATTGTAAATGATGACAATGCTTTTATCTCAATTTTCCTATGAGATATTAGCCTAATATCTAGCCTAAGTAGCATAAATAGCTTTTAAATTAATACATAAATACAAGATTATTAAACATGTATTTAATAGCATATTATTAAACAGAAAATGATAGTACGTGTTATGACATAACTGCTATTTTGATATTCACATCATGATCAACACACAATTATACCACTGTTAAATACATTCAATCAAAGGACCTCAAATAAGAGCAGAATAAATTAATAAATCCTCTTATCCAACTATCAGAAAGAAATGAAAATCAGTTGGAAAAGACAGTATCCCATCCAACACAAACAAATAATGTTTAAGGTATAGTTTGGACAGAAAATGAGACACAACATATTGCACCTTTGAACTCTTGACATCTCAGCATTTTTTTCAACAAAGTTAAATGCCATGTAAGCACATATTCAACAATAATACTTAACTTGCTTTAAAGAGAAATAAAAACATATATCTGGTCCAATCCCAAGTTGTTGTATAAGGACCAATAAAGTGTGCAGGTTTTCAACCCCTAATTTGCATTTAGGTTATTCACTTTTATTGAATCACAACACCTTCTATCCTATATCCCACATGTAGGGGAAGAGCTTGACTTTAAGAACCTGTCTCAGCTATCTTCTCAGGAAAGCATGACTCCTGAAACAATCATAGTTCAAATGGAACTTTTACTGAGAGAAGTGATAGCAGAGAAGTCAGGTGGACTCTGAAGTTTCCTTTGTGAAGCATTAAGCTGATTTCTCCTGTTCAATCCTCACCCAGTGCCCCATGTCCACCAATAGCCAATATGATGCCACAAAGATTTTATGAGAACTTCAAGGTAGGATGGTGATAACAGGTCATCCTCAGGGCACCATGGCCTTGGGTAACAGTTTGGAACTGGCTGGAGGGAATCCATCCTGAGCGATCAGTCCCCAACACTAATTCCCATGCAGCTACAGCAAAAGCAAAAGTTGTGATGACCCGGGGCATGGCACAATGGCCACACAGTCACATAAGTAAGAAAAGTCCCTTTAATACTTCCAACTTTGCCCCCAATGTCCAGTTACCTTTGGCTGGAAAAAAACCTCTCCCATGAACAGTCTTTAAGTGGAGGAAATTCGGTCCAAAAACAAAATACATATAAACTGTAAATAAAATCCACACAAACTATGCTGCAGCAATTAACTGGACAGGGCAGGATAAGGAATTGCAGACTTCAAAGGCCAACAAACACACAGAGTTGGGAAGATGCCAGGAACTCAGATAAGCCTTGAGAATAAAAGATAACTCACAATTTGCTTCCAACAAGTTGCTGTGCACAACATCCTTTTTTAAACATTGTGTTCCCAGCTGCAGCTAATGAAGGGAATCAGGTCCCTTTCCTCCCCTATAAGCCATGCAACTCACATTTCTCCCTTCTCTGTTCCTCCCTGCATACCCTAGGACAAAGAAGGGGTGGGCCTGGATCTTCCTCTGAATTCCTTCTTCCTTGCTCTACCTCTCCCCTGCTTTGCCCAGCCAGACTTTGCCCTTCCGCAGTATCTTCCACAGCCAATGGAGCCACACTCCCACTCCCTGTCAGCTGCTCAGCCTCCCCCTTGGAATCAGATTCTTTCAGGGGCATAACAAAAGCATTCAAAGCATTCAACCCCAAGAAACATACCCCCAAGAAGCATAACCCCTCTCCCTTTCAGAATGGCAGCCTTCCAGCAGGAACCAGACATTGACCTTGGCTAGTTATATTCACATACCTAGAGATGGATAATAATTCTGCCAATTATAAGGGAAAAGGCCAAAAAGAAATATCAGGAAACCTATAGAAACCAAGTGGAATGTCAGTAGTTATACAACAAAATAATAGAACATGGTGGCATTTGTGTGGGAGTCCAAGAAAGCATGATTATTGCACTGTTATATTGCAAGCCACACTCCTTTGTAGGAAGAAAGTGGCTGCCTGATAATTCTACTGATACATACCTAAAACAAAGTTCAGGGAATGAAATGAAATGTAAGCCCATTCAGACTTAGAAAAGTTATAATAGAATAAATAATAAAATAAATCCATAGAAATCAAGAAAAATGCCCTGTAAGAACATCTCTAGAAGAAAATTGGTGGGAAGACCAACCCCTCACTAATTGTACCTAGCTTTGGCTGGATTGAAAGAATAAAAACTATTGGTAGAAAATGAGAAAATGAATGAACATCCTTTTGGGAGGGCAGAACATGTAATAGAAAGTATAAGATTCTAATGCTTCCATAGGTCAGTAGAAAGAAAACCTACGTTATTATTATGTAGGGGCAAATTTGGTCACATTGATAAAATCAATACATCAGTATTTTGATACAACATCAATTATTATTTAAAATGTATATTGATATATGAAAAGGATAGAACATAGCTTTTCATGGTACTGCAAGTTTCTTTTTGTTGGACAAGTAGATTTTTTTCTAGAAATCTTGATTACCTCAAAAAGGTTTCAGCTCTACCAGTTCTTGATTGTTCTGGTCAACATCATTTCTTCGTTGCCATTTTGGATTGGACTTTTTTCTTGCTCATATCTTACAAACCGTGCTTAAACATAACATGCCTCAAATAGGTCACATAGTTTAAACAACTTCACAATTATGTTTGTTTCGTACAAATGTACTAGATCCTGGTATTCACCTCTCCAAAAATCAAGAGGCTGCCAATCAACTACATTTAAAGTTTTATAACAACAATTAAGGATGCAGAATGTTTGCTGAGTAACTTCTTGAGTTCTTCTTGGTGTAAAGGTTAAATATACCTGCATCCCTTTATCCTTTCCCCCTTTATTCAGAGAAGACAAAGAAAGAGGAAAAAAGTGAACAGAATAGTTTAGTTTATTGTCGTTGTACCTCATACAATGAAATTAAATGCCATCTTTAGTGTACATTATTACTATAAAAATAAAACACAATTACACATCTTTCACATTCTATACAATTGAATTGAAAACTCCTGATATTGCATTAATATTTCACGATACAGCAGAATTCAAAATAGTTACTGTTCTGGGATAGAAAGTGTTTTTCAGCCTATTTGTCCTTGTTTTTATTATCCTGAACAGTCTGCCAGATGGTAATAGGGTGCCCAGAATGAGATGGATCTTTAAGAATGTTTTGAACATTCTTAAAGCAGCAGGAGCTATAAAGCTTTTCCAAAGAGGGGAGATATAAACATCATTAATGATAAAGATCATTAAAAGAATCTGTCAAAATCTCCATAGATGACAAAGGAAAAATTTGATATTCTTATTTCTCATGCTATAGATGATTGGATTGAACAGGGGTGGAAGGAGGGCATACAGAACAGTCAACCCAAAATCTAAATATGATGGAGTTTTAGAGGAACGTCTTAGATAGGCAAAGCATCCACTTAATAATAACATAGACACTACCATAAGATGGGGAATACAAGTGGATAAAGCTTTTTGCCTTCCTTTTTCAGAAGAGATTCTTAACACTGCCTTGAAGATCACTGCATAAGATACAATTATAAAAGTAAAACAACCGAATCCAACAATGAAACTAGCCACAAGAATTCCAACCTCAAATAGATTTATGCCAGAGCAGGATAGTTTTAGCAACTGTGGAATATCACAGAAGAATTGGTTGACCACATTAGAACAAAAAAGGATGGAAAAAGTGCCAGTAGTATGCAACGTTCCATACAGAATACCTGTAACCCACACTAGAAGAATTATTACAATGCAGGCTTTCCAATTCATTACCCTCTCATAGTGTAGTGGATGGCAAATGGCAACATATCGATCATATGCCATGACTGTTAGGAGAGAGAAATCAGAAGCTCCAAAGAAGAGAAAGAGAAAGATTTGAGCAGCACAACCAGAATAAGAGATGTGTCTGCTACCCATGAGAGAATTTATCATGGATTTGGGCACAATGACTGAAACAATGCCAATGTCCTGCAGAGCTAAATTCATGAGAAAGAAGTACATGGGGCTGTGCAGGCGATGGTCGAAAGCTATTGCAGAGATGATGAGAAGATTTGTTGTTACAGTTGCCAGATATAACATAAAGAATATGAAAAAATGCAAAAGCTGCAGATCCCGATTTTTTGAGAATTCCAGAAGCAGAAAGTAATGCATTGTGGTTTGATTCTTCATGTTTCATTTGTAATAAAGTTGGAAGAACTGCAAGGATATAGAAAATGGAGATGTAGTTAGATAACATTTGGGAAGTGGCATTTTGATATAGAAAACATCAAGAAATGTAAATAATGGACAGAATGAACAGAGAATCAGAGAATGAAAAACAGATGTAGGATCAACTTGACAATTTCAATCCACCCATACTAAGGAACCAATCACTAACTTCATATTTTTCCTTCTTTCCTCTTTTCAGTTCTGTTACTTCATGTACTGATCAATTGCCTAGGAGTAAAAAAAACACTCTTCACATTTATTTTCATCAATGGAAAATTACTCGGAATAATTGGACCCATCATGATGTCTTACTTCAGCTATAGTATTGTGATACTCTTGGAAAATTGGAGAATGTCTTATATCTGTTACTTTGTAGTTCTAGAAGAAAGGCAATGTATATTTAGCAAATAAATAATGAGTTAATATGCCAAGTCTTTTTTTACTTGGAAATCTTGGGAGCAGAAATTTCCTCTTTGTATAATTTTTCTTTGAGTGTGCATTTGCCTGCATTATTATGTCTTTATTTAAAGGATAGAGATGATTTCTTTTTCTCAGTTTTCCTCACATATTTTAGACTAAAAATAGAATAAAAAGTCTTTAAATACATATATACAAAATTCCTGAGCTTATTTAATGGGATGTTATTAAATTAAAAAAACTGATATAACTTTACTTACTTACTTCTCATTCCACTACACTAGAAAACTATCTTATCCAATTTACTTAAATTCTCTTCTGCAAAAAAATTATAAAGCCAATCCTGAGATACAATACTAAGGCATATGGAAATAAATACTAATTTGCTCCATAAAAGATGAAAATAACTGATTTGTTAAATTTTCAATTTATAACTGACTTGTCTTTAAAGATTATGTCTTCTATGTATTAAAAAGTGTTACATATCTTACCACTAGGTCATTGCTGTCCAACAAATTATCATGTACTATCTGCAGATGTAAAACAAATTATCATCATCAATCTGCAGTTGTAGAGATTTCTATTTTGAATGTTTATTAATCTTTGTTTTGTTTTTCTCTAGAGAGTTGTACACCAAAATGAAACTTACTTGTTTGTGATTAATAATATACTTAGTAAACATGTGTAATGTTGGTTCCTTTGTGCTTATTAACATAATTGGCCATTAAGAGTATTACGGCTACCTCTATGACCAGTTAGTTACCTTACCCCACAGAACATTAATATTTCAGATTGTTAACAGAAGGAGAGTTGCAGTGTGAATTGTGAGAGGTGAAACATGAACCAAGGGAGAAGATTTTCCAGCATATAATTTCATCATTTGTGAGTATCTTTCACCTCCATTTTTTTAAAAATCCCAACCTCTATTCTGCATGCCACAGGCAGGGGAAGAGCTTGACCTTGGCTAGGTATACCTACATTATTAATGCAGAGGTAGAAAATAACTCTGCAAATTACAAAGAGAAAAGGCAGAAAAGAAAGTTCAGAAAACCAATAGAAATCTAGTGGAATGATAATAGTTACACAAGAAAAACTTTTAGACAATATTGCATAGAGAATCCCTATGATCCACACTAGAATTATTATTTCAGTGCAGACTTCCCAAGTCATCACCATTACGTAGTGCAGGGGATAGCAAATGGCAACATAATGATCATATGTCATGACTGTCAAGAGGGAGAAATCAGAAGCTTCAAAGGAGAGAAAGAGAAAGATTTGAACAACACAACCAAAGTAAGAGGTGTGTCTGGTGTCTATGAGATAATTGATCATGGAATTGGGGACAATGACTGAAATAATGCCCAAGTCCTGCAGAGCCAAATTCATTAGAAACAAGTACATCGGACTGTGTAGCTGATGGTCAAAAGCTACTGCAGATGATGAGATGATTTACTGTTACTGTTGCCAGATATAATATGAAGAATAAGAAGTGCAAAAGCTGCAGATGCCAATCTTTTGAGAATTCCAGAAACAAAAATTAAGACACCAGAGTTTGATTCGCCATATGTCATTTAAGAGAGAGCTGTAGGACATAACTGCAGGGAAGTGGCATATTGATATGTGGAGATAATTGCAAATAAAAAGAAGTGTAAAGCATGAACAGAATAAAGAGAGTATCAGGCCATGGAAGTAGCAAATGCAAGATGGGCATGTCAGAGCACACTCACAAAACATTCTCACTAGGTGAACGCTGATTCATTTCCATTCAATTGTACTTGAACCAACCACCAACCTCACATTTTCTCTATCCTACTTCATTTTTTTTCTGGAAAAAAATAGTTTGTTAAAAGAAGGTTAAAATACAAAATATCAGAATACTTTAAAAAGGACAAAAGAATAAAAAAAAACACAACAAAAAGACATTAAAAAGAAACAGTATATTAAAAAAAGAAAAAGAAAAAAGTCTAACATGTATACACATAACATTCTCCCTCGTTGAATGCTGATTAATATAATACAGCAATGTTAGTTTTCTACCCCTTACAAAACAGGCCAAAATAATTTAAAATATTATACTAACTTTATTTACAAATTGTAAGTCTGTCATCTATAAACTATATGAATAAAAAAACCAGTTAACAGAAAAACAATAATAAACATATTAAATAAAAGTTTAATCCCAAATCACCTCAAATATTAACTCTATTGGTCCCTGATCAAATATCCACATTTGTTTCTTTATACCATTTATTATCAATTGCTGATTGATTGAATGCAATAAGTCCAATCTCAAAAGCCAATCTCTCTTCCCTTAAAAAAAAAAACCCAAAACAAAACAGATAAAATGGAGAGTGGTTTGCTCTCCAAGCTTGTTTCAATTTAGTTTCTGATCATTTCATTACCGGACTAGGTAACATCAGAAGCAGGATTTTCTTGTCCTATTCTCTTTAGTTTATAAATGTCTTGTGTGCCAGTGTGGTCAGTTGGTCATTTGAATTATTGTTCATTTGGAGCTATATTTAAATTCTGAGCAGTTGATTGGTTCTTTTGTTGATTGGTTGTTCAAGTGGTTTGATTTCTTAGATATTCATATACTGGCTTTAGATCAAACTAAATTGAAACAAGCTTGTAGGGCAGGATTGCCAAAATTTAAGCCAGAGCTCTTATCACAGATAAGAGTGTTCCTCAATTAGATTTATTAAATCCATTTTCCATTCTTGTTCAAACCCCTTAAAAGAAACTATTTGCCACTTATCCATTCACAGAGTTTTCTGCTATTATAACAAAGCACATTGTTAACCTCCCTATTTCCAGTTTTGTTATTTCAGGCACTGATCAAAAGGATTGCCTTGGATTAGGAAATTCCCTGTTAAAGTTAATTTTCAACAATGGAAGTTTTCTGTGATTATTTGAATCAGTCTCAAACTCTCACTCACTACTCGTATAGGATTGTGGTAGAATCAGAAAATTGGTGGATGTGGTATGAATGGCACTTTGAACTTCTAATAGAAAAACAATGTAAATCTAGTGAATATATAACAATAAATTGCTGTATCTTTTATTTGGAAATCTTGAGTGTAGATATTGCCTTCTGCTGCAATATGTGTGTATATGTGTGTATTTTATGGGATAGTCAGATGGGAATGTTTTTCTCAGATGCTCTAGTACCTATTTGGCAAAAAAAAAGCATAATAAACTTTAAATCGAATACATAAATAATAGATTCCTAAACATGTTTTAATCAAATATGTAATTAAACAGAAGAAAAAAAATCTTTACTTAGAGCATAACTCTTGACATTCATTAGGTGGTATTACACATGTTAATCACATTGGAAGTTTTTTTTAAAAATGAATTGAGACATTGGCAGAATGAATTAATAAATCCCCTTTTTCAAAAATCATAGGGAAAGTCATACTTTGATTTTAAAAAGCAATCTCCCATCAAATACAAACCTCTATTCCACTCAGGAGAGTTTACCACAAAATGAGATGCAACCTATTACAACTATGAACTCTGACATCTCCGTACTTCTTTTAACAACGGGGAACAAGATTTTCAACAATAATAATGCTGCATCTTGCCAAAGTCTTCACTCCGGTCCGCTCTGTGAGCGGGAGCCAGAGCCACCCCTGATTGGCTCAGTATAAAAGGACTGTCAAACAGAATCAGCTGTTCTCTGTCAGCCAGCTGACTGTTAGCTTGTGGCAAGCCACGGCTGTGCTACTTTATAGCAATAAAGCCTGTTAGCCTTTAGTTAAGCCTCTGTCTCTTTACTCCCACGTGCCAAACTTAAAACTGGTGACAAGGATGGGATGTTAGTGCAGTGAGGTAATTCTGAGGCAAAAAGAGCTGAACTAACAAGGCTGAAGTCACTAGAGCTGAAGTCACTGACCTAGCGGTCACTGGGCCACTTCTTTTTTTTTTTTTTTTTGAAAGAAATTTTATTAATTTTAAAGACAAACAAACCATCATTAACCATTGAATACATAAAACCTCTTTCCATTATAAATTTTACAAGTCGAATAAAACATTATTTTATGCAACATAATTCTATTTTACACCATTTCCATATGAACATATAAATATCTCTTAGCAAATTTCTCATTATTTCTCTTTACTCTTATTCAATTTCATTATTATTATTATTTTTCCTATATTTATCCACTTTATAGTTATCATCTTCATTTCTCTCTGACTTAGTTACCATTATTCTCATCCAACATTCCTCCAAGGTTTTATTAATTCTCACACAGACATAAACACACAAAACACAAAAACATAAAACTTCTTTTTAGAAAGTAACTTGGCCCCAGATTACCTCTCTCTATATGGACTTCAATTAAATTCGTGCTCATCTTATATACCATTACCTATCTTATTTACCATTCTATATCTTCTATTTAGCTTCTCCCCGCTTTTCACTCTTCTTAATTCTATTTTATTTAATTCATTTTAATTTAAATCATTATGCTTGTATCTTTTGTCCATTCTTTCCAAATTATCCATTTATCTCATTCCCTATA